CATGGAAGTAAAAACTTAAGCCAAATGCTGTTCAAGAAGCACATCGGAGAAGGCTTCATTCACTCACCTCTATTTCTCATAACGATTGGATTCACTAGCAAGGCGATGTGAAGGCTCATGGATTAAACAAAGATTGGCCAGCCAACATCCGACTTGAATGTAGCGCATTATCTGATGTGATCGAATTGATGCGTAAGAAGCGCGCGAAACCAAAAGATATGAGATGAAGTATTAGTATGTCATGCGGGCAAAGGCTTTTTTATGTAGGGTACGTTTGGGGATATCGTCAAGTGCGTGGGCGACCATTTTGAAAAAAAATCTTAAAAGATGCTCGGAAGGACGCGGTCATATGTCGCTGTACTTGGGTTCCGTTTTGACCTGGTTCGAATTGCAGTTATTTTGTCACCATATTTATGCCCCACCCTGTAAGCGATCATGCCCGAAAAATTCTTTAAGTGCAGGAAGTAAGAAGTCTAAAAATAGTCTAGACGGCAGAGTAGCCAACTCAATTGGTGCACCTCTCACTTACCCCCTCTCAGAATCGTAATGTCATTTACAGTTTTCGGTTTATTTTGTAAGTAAGCGAGATTAGCCGATATTTAAATTTGTCTTACTTTCTTTGCTTGTTGCCTAGCAGTTTGGCTGTATCTGTTCACACATCATCAACAAGCCACCTTATGCCGCAATATTAGATAAGTCAGCCACAAATAAATTCGGACAGCTAAAAAATGACCATAACACCGGCCTAACCTTTTCGACCTCTTTTACTGTGCTGTCAATTGTTGTTGTTTCTTTCTTCGCAGTCCTCTAGAGTGTTTGTTTACACCATGTTCTTCTTTACAATCTTCTAGTTAAAGAGTCATCGATATCTTCTTAACACATTGCGGACCGCCCTTATACAAGTATCTCCGCACCTTTTTTTTATGTTTATTGAAAACGAATTATCATAAGTCTACCAACAAGTTTATCAGTGATGATACTTGTTCTTTCCCTGTTCTGGAAATGAGTGCAAGTACATCAGGAGCATTGACGAATAAATTAGATGAAACTATAATCTTTCGCTTGAAAACGTGTGCCACATGGTGGCGCACGCGGTACGCAATGTGTTAAAT